TAACACTGTTCTGATTGCCTTAGCTGTGCCAAATGCTCCGTCAATGTCTGCCTGGCTAAGCCATGAAGGCTTTCTTTGGGACAAGGGAAAAATGAGAACAGTGATCAATGGATTTGTTTTACTAACCACAGGCACATTTATTAGTTGCACTTCTAAGGCAGTGAGTAACCCTGTCTTGATCTGTGAGTCTGAGCAGGCAGGGGCAGAATGTGACCTCTAGCAACCTGCCAACCCTCTAGCAAGAATAATAGGAGTGGAAACGGATTTGGGAGTGGAGGAAGTGCTGGGTCTTCCTCTGGGTTTGTATTTTAAGCTGTTGGTCCTGTGTGGCATTTCTGATGACTAATAATAGCCAAGCACATATAGTTTAACCTTCACAGGGTTATTAAAGTGTCTCTCTACTCATCTAAAGTGTGCACATTGCTTCAAGGACTTATAAATATTTAGATGTGTGTGTACACACACATTTTTACATCTTTTTTTCTTTCCTATTCAATAGTTCTAGTTGCATCAAGCAGCCAAGGACGAGTGAATCCATTCAAGGTAAGAATTTTGCAGCTGGTTTGATTGTGATGCTCTGAAAATCACAACAGATCATATCTGAAGTTTGCAATATAACAGGTACCTAGGAGGGACAGAGGAGAGGAACATGGCAGAAAATAAATCAAATGTCTAGGTATTTGTTTTCCTAGGTGTCATCCAACAAAAAGGACCCAGTGGTTCCCTCAGCAAATGTCCTAGATACTATGAGCAGATACTCAAAGAAAACATCTTTGGCTAGTGGTAGAGCTGGAAACAAGCAGAACCCTCCAGTTATAAAGCCTCTGATTCCCAAACCCAAGTCCAAGCAGGTAATGCTTCTAATCTTTTTCACATTGTTTCAGTGAGCAAAGAACAATAAATTGAATTTTACCAGTTTTTATCAAGTATGAAACCACGTTGATTGAGTAAAGAAGCTTAGATGGCAACATTCATAGTGCAGAAGCTATGAAAGCACATAAACCAGCAGAAGAAACAGTTGTAGAAATTACATTCTGCTTTCATTTTAAATTGTGTAAATAAACCTCTGCTGTGCTGAAATTGGGTGGGTTAGATGCCCCATTAATGCAAGTGATTATTACATCTTTAGGAAAGGCTTGGAGTTTGTGAGGCTGTGTGGTACATGTTGTCTGAGAGTGAGATGTTCTTACCTTTCTTCTTTTCATCCTCAATTTCCATAGGCTTTAGCAGCCTCCTTCTTCCAGCCTCGTACACCTACACCTAACCCTAGTGAAAAACCAGTGGAAGAAAGAGAAGAAAAAGAAGAAAGAGAAGAAAAAGCAGAAAATGTGTCTCATGAAGTCAAAGTCACTGTACAGGAGACCACGGCGAACAGGAGGTGAGTGGATACTTGCATCTCATTGTCATATTCCAATTTTAAGGAGAGACTAAGTTTAAAGGAGAGACTGGACGTGGCACTCAGTGCCATGGTCTGGTTGTCATCGTGGTGTTAGGACATAGGTTGCACTCGATGATCTCAAAGGTCTTTTCCAGCCTGATTGATTCTGTGATTGTGTGATTTTGGTAAAATAACAAGTCAAACCCACTTGATTTCTGAAGATGTTGGATAGGCTGAAGTGACATAGCATCAAGATTCAAGTAGTATCTCACAAGTTGTCATGTTTGTGAACCCACTTCAGAAATGTGGGGAGTGACTAATAAATGAGCAATGCCAAGTTTTGGGGCTCTAAGCAATGATTTTTGCCTTAATACTACTTATGCATCTAATAATGACCTTTGAATGATACATGAAACCAAACTGCTGGGTCAGTTCCAAGTACAGCAAATACTTGCACATATCTAGAAAATTTTGAAGCCTAAAAGCTAAGGGTAAAAGAGTAAAAGCTTTATTTTAGAATGTGTTTAAAAAAAAAAAGCAAACAAAAACTTGTATCACCTAAGGAGCACTTCTCTTCCAGCTAAGGCTCTAATCTGTCTTGTTCCTTGGGAGCAGATGTATTTTCTAACAATCCCAGTCCTCATGAAACTTGCATTATTATAATCATGTTTCATTTAGACTTCATTTAACGGAGGAAGACAAAGGTAATTATTACTCATTAGGACTGGCATTCTTTTCATTAACCTTTGCAGATAATGTTCTACAACAAGTGGCAAGGAGAACTGTGAGAAGGATTAGCTGAAACATGCTAATCTGTGTGCTCTATTTTTAGGTTGATGGGACCCTGTCAGAAGGGAAGGGAACCATTATGCTTTGTCATTCTGAAACTGGAATGTCAATCTCCATATAGATCACAGGTTTAATAAAAATGCTTGGCTTAGTCTTGCCTTGTCAGCATGTTCCCTGAGCATACTGCAGCAGGAGAGAGCAGCCTGCTGACTAGAGGTGTCTTGTCTTTTGGGAACAGAAACATCCACTCCAGGTGTTGTTTGGAAATGCTGCTTTGGGGGATATGGTTTGCCTCTAACCTTCTTAACCAGACAATTTCCTGTGCTTGCTTTAGACCAAGGACAGGTTTCCAGATGTGGCTAGAAGAGCACAGAGCAAACATTTTGGCAGATAATCCGGATCTGAACGAAGCAGCTATAATAAAAGAAGGCATGAGTCGGTTTAGCATGTTGACCTCAGAGGAAAGGATGGTAAGAAAATATTCTCCAGTTCTCTGGGTTTGATCTTTTTTTTCCCTTACTGAATCCTTCTGTTACTTTCAGTCAGGAGATTTTTCTTTTGGTTCCACAGTCCTCTGTCTTTATGGACTTCAGTTTTGAGTGTGCCATGATCTGCAGCATATACTTTATGAAGATATAAACTGAGTAAGCAGTAAAAGCAGACAGCAGCTTTTCCCATGTGGGGCTTGTGACAGAAGTGTAATCAATGAGGAAATAACAAGAGAAGGAAAGGAGTTCAAAGTGACATAGCCAGGCTTAATTCCCTGTGGCTTCAATTTGTTCTGATTTAATTTCTTGGGACTGTTGGGTTTCTTATTTGTCCACAAGGACAATTAAGAGCTTCAATTTCATATACAGGCTCAAAGAAGTATAGTTTTGAAGGAGAATGTTGTTAGGAAAAAAAGGAAAGTGAGGAATGTTTTCTAACTTAATCCTTATTAGTTCTTAACAGGAATTATTTCAGTGCCTTAAAATCTGAGAAAGAAGGTGTATAAAGGGGTAAATTCTGTGGCCTGATGTGAAGTTTTCTATTCTTCTTCAAAGGCATGGACTCAGAAAGCCAGAGGAGGAGCAGTTAATGATTCAGCAGAAGATAAGAAGAGAAAGCATCCCACAGATGCTGAAGAGGAAGTGAATAATCACCAGGAGCAAAACTCAGAGGACACGAATGTCTCCAAAAAGCCCAAGCCTTTAGATCAATCCACAAATGTCAGATTGTCAGCTTTTGCCTTCAAGCAGAGCTAAACGATGCTGCCCCTTCTCGGTGTCTGTGTTCTGAAAGCATTGGGTAGCTCTGTGTTGAGGAGTTGGCTGCTTTCTCAAAGAGCGCTGGCAAAACGAGTGCCTTGCTCCAAATAGTCTGTTCGAAAGGATTTTATTATCAGTTCTTGTGGGAAATGTTGAATCCATGCTCACAATCTTTTACAAGTTCCTAGCATAAAACTTGATTGCAAAATTGCTATGAATGGACCAGTTACCTGGAAGCACAGTTCCACTCAGTGGGCCTTGATACTTGCAAGATTTGGTGTTAAATTGATCGTTCTGGGGAGGAGAAACTGTCCAGAATCTGTCCTGTTGTTTTAGAGGGGCAAAGTAATGGCTTCTTTACCTTTCCTACTGCCTGAGAGAAAGACACTCGAGGAAAAGGGCATGAGGGAACCAAAGCTGAACACCAGCAACATGTTAAGCTGCATTTCAATGTCTGTAGCAGTGGCAGAGAGCAGCCTGGTATGGGCAGGGCAGAAGCTGAATTAGAAAGGTCAGATGTGCCAAAACAAGCCACTCCAGACTGTGCAAGTGTGCTTTCCTATCTGTGCCTCAGAAGGGTCCAGAAAGTGCTCAGAACTTGAAAATGTGTGTATTTTTTTATGTGATGTTTGTCTAGGAAATAAAATGTGAAAGTTTCATTAAGGTGGTGGAGTCTCCACTGCAGCTCTTGTCATTAAAGTGAACAGACTGTCCCTGCCAGCCCCAAGGCTGGTGTTGGTTCTGCTCTGGAGACAGGGCCCTGTGCCTAGCAAACATATTCGAATCAAACTCAAATTTTGGCACCTTTTGTAAGATCAGCTAAAGTAATTTAACTCTTTAGCATAACAGCTGAGTCTGAAGAGTTCTCAAATATTTTTTCACTGGGTTTGCACATCCATTCATTGTTTTCTTTCCATTCCTCTTCATACTGGCACAAGTTGCCCAGAGAAGCTGTGGCTGCTCCATCCCTGGGAGTGGTCCAGGCCAGGCTGGATGGGGCTTGGAGCAACCTGGGGTAGTGGAAGGTGTCCCTGCCCATGGCAGGGGGTGGAACTAGATGTTCCTTAAGGTTCTTCCAACCTAAACCATTCTATGATTATTACTGAAAATATGTCAGTTCAACTTGGTTATCTTTTCCAACCTAAATGACTCTCCATTAAAAGCACATTTTAAATATTGAAATCTGTAATTGAAAAGTTGGTGAGATTTCAGTAAAACCATTAAATTTGTATTAGTCTTTTGTAGCAATTGTAGGTTTTTGAGGGAAAACAGCTTCTGTTTTCACTGTATGTAAGAGAAAGAGGGTCATGATGTCAACCAGGGATGGTAAATACAAATAGAGAAAATACTGAAGATCTGTCAATTTAAATGCTTTCGTCATCAACGGTTCTTATCTGTTTTTACATATTAGTTTGTTTAAGCTGCTTGTGGACAGCAAGTAATAATTAATCAAAGTAATAATTGTTTGCACTGACATAAGGAAGCTCAGGGGAGTAGTAGCACATTATAGTGACTTTTCTACATTCCCTGGGAAGAAATTATTGTTTCAGAAACTGGGATTTACTTGTAGGCAGTAAAGTATATTTCCACCTTTGGGTGTGTTGGGGAAAAATGGGATTGCAGTGAGAAGAAAAACATCCTGATGGAAAAATCACTCTGGGCTTGGTGAACTGTAACATTTTCTTTCTCTGGACTAGGTTGTTCTGATGTGACTTGAGCATCTTGGATGTGGTGCTGGGAGATGATCCAGGTGACTCTTTTCATCCACATGCACAGACTCCATATCTGAGCTGCCTGTCAGTTGCTCTTTCCACAGGCCTGAGAGGAGAAGTTATGTTGGAAAGGACCTTTAAAGGCCACCAAGTCCAACCCACACTGCCATGGGCAGGGACACCTTCCACTAGAGCTGGGGAGGTATCCACTGCTGCAAAGAGCTGGTCCCACAAAACATCCAAAGTCCTTTTGGCTCCTGTTGGAGGGACGAAACAGCCAAAGTAAACTTCCATGAGAGCTCTCTGGGAGTTGGATGTTTGCAATCATGTAGCTCCTCTGAACAAACACACCAAAGGTCTGTCTAACAGGAGGCTCCTGGATTTAGGTTTCATGGAAATCACTGGGGATATTGGGCACCATCCTGCAGGTCCTTTCCATGTGCTTTTTTTCTCCTGGAATAATAATTTTTGCTGTGTAATGTTTGTGGGTTTCATCAGACTCACTGTCCCCAGCCTTGAGGTCACAGTCTGGATCTCACTGCTGTCCCCGTGGCTGGTTAGAGGTGGCAGAGCTGTTTCCAACACCAGATTTGAAATTTTACACCAGAGCTGTGTGACTATGGTAGAATCATGGAATTGTAAAAGTTGTAAAATGCCTTCAAGATCATTGAGCCCAACTATTCCCCCAGCAGAATATGGCCAAGGCCACCACTAACCATGTCCCCAAGTGCCACATCTAC